CTATAGGTCTTTCTCACACGGCGACAAGCTGTACTCAGTGAAAACACTTTGTGGCAAAAATATCGCCGGGCAGTCGTGTGTGATTGATCTCGTTGCAAGTGCGTTGTGTCTTCCACAAAATAGGTTTGGTTATGAAGTATGATCAGTGGTAACGCATTTTTTAAAATAAAATTTAATTACCTCCACCTTACCCCCTTATGGAAATAATGTCTATTCACTCTCGCCTAGAAAAAGTCCAAGTTATAGCGTTAAAGAAATAAGTCTACAAGCAGGATATTTCACGATTATGAAATAACTGCACAGTGATCGGCTGCTTGCGAACGAGTATCACCAGAGGTAACACTGAATTTTTTTAATAAAAATATAAGTGCTCATTTGATCTTCAAGTCACAACCTATTGGAAATAATGCCTATTCACTCTTGCCTTGAACAGGACCAAGTTGTAACGTTCAGGGAACAAGTCTTGCAGGCAGGGAATTTCATACCATGGCATGGCTGTTAATGCCATATAAATGTGGAAGAGTAATGTGACTACGATGCCATCGTTTCAATGTTACTACACATTTTAATAGAAGTTCACATCCAGTTAAATTTCTCTCCTTACAACACTGTATAAACTTAACTATAAACTAAGTTACTGCCACTTTGTACTTAAATTAATAACACGTAAGATCCTAATGTCTTAATTTATGGTATAATTATTATTATGCCTCTTTTGTAGAAAAAAATAAACCAATTTCAAATGTATTTGCCAAGTTTTGTTGAAAAGGGTTAACGGAAAATGTTTGAAATTCAATAAACGTAATTTATATCCTAATTTGCTACCCTTAGAGGTGGAATATTTCCTTCAAATTTAAATGGGACCAATACTACGGAACCCTCTACTCTGGTGTGTACCCTCTTTCCAACAAAATAAGAATTATTTGCAATATTTAACATTTTATTCAATATTATTATAACTCCCCTCATTGAGTGCGGTCTCAAAATTGTCAAATCTGTCAAAAAATGTCTACTTATCTACTAGTTAGATTATTCACGGTTGAATGCAAACTGCCCACAACCAAAATACTTGCCAAGTCACTCGCATCACATTGCTTGGAATTAGGTCTGCGCGCACGCACGAATGACGTTGAAATTAACGTGATTCGTTGAGTGATTAACCTTGCGTGCTATGTGGGTTATCCATATATGTTTGTTTAACTAAATAGCTAAAGTTTTTCTCCGACGATCGGGTTATTAAAATAATTGTAGCAGGTGCTTGGTACGTACTGGATACTGGAACACAATTATAGAACGGTAGTTCTACATAGTAATAGTTTTCATTTACTAATCAATTTTAAGTTTAGATGTTATTAAATAAAGAACACGCCATGTTGGTTATAGACTCTTTGTGAAGGACTTCGTCCAGGGAAGTACTGGCTTACCAATTTCTGCCGCCAAGCAGTAATGTGCGCATTACTGCGTTCCGATTTTGAAAGGTAAGATGCTTATGAAACTACAGGCACATGGGACTTGTCACTAATGTCTCAAGGTGACGGGTGTAGTAGCAATGTCCGTCAGACCTTTGTAACTTTGGACAGGCATGTCGCTTACCACAAGGCGCAAGCGACAGAATAAAAAATACAAAAATCCGGAATCGCACGACTTTAACTGACAATGGTGATAGGAGAGTCACGTAAGCATTGAATCGATGACCGGTAGAGCCGAAAAGTGCTCTATTTGAGACCGAAAACCTGTACTAGAAGCGTCAACTGTCAGAAAGCGAGTACTGTACGTGTACACGGGGCGGCTCACCCGATGCACTAGCCTCTCGATGAACCAGATGAAGTCAAGTGACAGAGGTTTGTAACAACTCTGTACACTGGCTGATCTGGGATCAGAACCTGAACTTGTAAGGTTCCTGTGCACGCACAGGTTATAGTACCCTTCTCGTATACCCTAAGTGTCGGTAAGTCACTATAATCAAAAGTAATGTAAAAAGATATGGGGCTATCTGAAGCCGATGGACGGAAAATAAAGTCAAAGTCAAACCTAGACGCAAATAGACCACGATTGAAGAGACTGACGTGCAAATGAGAAGGCCTACACTCAGCAGTGGGTGTCTGAAAGCTGAAAAAGAAGAAATAAAGAAATCTCGTCAGGTTAATTGTGGTAGGCAAGGTAGAGCGACAAAGCACCTTGTCGTTGATGCAGCCAAGTAACGATCCCCACTGATCTTTCTATTCCAACCTCCCTAAGTGAAGCCAAAACCGAAATATGCCACAAATGCTACTAAAATCTATCAGGAACACGAAAGTAATAAAGGAAATTATTGTTAAAATGTAGATTTTTCTGTATCTCGGTGTTGAAAACAAAAGCAAACACAAAAAAACTGCAGGGCTGTCAGCTATCTTACCCAACATACATAGTATAACCTTCGGGGGACTCTCCCCTTTGAAGGTCCCTGTGACTTAATAGGTAAATAAACTACGTGCTCAAAAGTAATTTAACATTTCTGTATTTTGTTCCAGATTAAGAAGAGTTTGACGAAAAGATATCCTGTCCACAACTCATAAGGTAAGTTATTGCAAAATCTAAACCCAGATATTATATATCTAAATAAAATAGGAATCGATTGGATACTTCAGCTACTTTGGCTAATGCTCTGTGTGGTACAAAGTGGCAGCGCTGCTTCTGTTTTTGCCTTTAGGCACTCTGTCCAAATTCACCCATTGAACTTTGGTCATTAACTTTTAACAACCTTTTAGCGACCCCAGTGGCACAGTTTGCACTATTTACGCTGGATGATTACCGATTTGGGAAATTAATTTTACTAAATTGGTTCTATTCTGGGTGTTCTAGGTAGTGAATTCCATTTTCCTGGTACTCATGATATTTGTAAAATACTAACAAACTCGAAGGACTGCATTGCTAGCGAACGAGGCTTTGATGCGTAACATAAGTAGTACGAGATTTTTAGATCTAATTATGTAATTATTGCATAGAAAAATCCCCATTTGTAATAGCGCCAAAGTTCCAGAACACTTGGGATACTTTGAGTCCGCATCACGAACGAACGCCCATATATTTCTTCAACAACTTGGAGATTTCACTTGGCTGGAGCTGCGTAGCCTCATCGCACGGTAAAAAGAACCTCCCTCCTTTACACTATATTATTTTAATAAACATTAAAGTACGAAGCGCCTCACGCGACCGTGTGGCCTGGTAGGAATGCCCTATGAATCTATGGCGCTTTGAAATAACAGCTTTTAAACACACAGCTCGTATGACCATAGCAAAAAGCTACATTTTCGTTCGTAGAACATAATTAACGTACTTAAGATCACTGAGCTCAAATTCGTGACCTCACTTTGAAGGTTCAATAATTATATAATACTAGCTTACTTTGTATAAGTCGAACTGATAAACGGATAAAACTTTTTATAAGAATTATCTCTGTATATCTTTCTTTTTCTTTTTTTAACCGATTTCAAAAAAAGAGGAGATTCTCAATGCGGCTGTACTTTTTCGTATGTATATTACTCGATTACTTCGGCGTTTGTGAACTGATTTTGGTGATTCGTTTTTGGAAAGAGGATACCTCAGTATTGATCCCATTTTAATTGGAAGAAAATATTCCACCTCTAAGTGTGGCAAACTAGGGTTTGAATCCGTTTACTTTTGCACTCGGCTTTTTCTTATAAAAAAGTTATAATTATCTATTTGATATCTTTCTTTCATCTTTTATTCGTACGTATTATTTAGTAGCAGTAGAGCTCCTTGTGACAGAGTTCGTCCAAGCGAATACTGCCACCTTATCTATTTCTGCCGCCAAGCAGTAATGTCAGCATTAGTAATGTGTTAGGATTTTGGAGGCTAAAGGACATGTCAAGTTATGTCTCGGGGTGACGGGCGCAGTGGCAGTGCCCCTCAGATCTTTGTGATTTAAAGCTCTGTCAATGCAACTGCTATGGACAGGCGTGTCGCTTACCACCAAGCATTCGTTCCGTCACTTGATATCATAAAAGAAATATCGATACACGTTAAAATCACAATGTTTTGATCGAATATTTTATATAGAAATTTGTACTTTTACTGTTTTATATATTTTTAAACATGCTAATGAGAATTTTAAATCGTCACCTTCGGAATTACGGGCAATCCTTTTTTAAACTGAACCACCTATAATAAACAATAATTACAAATAAGTAAACCATATACCAACACCACCACCAGGTTACAATTAAAGCGTTTAAGGCACCGCTACCTGCTATTAAAGAAGCCGTTAAACGAAGCTCAATTAACAGAGAATTAGTCTCCCATCTCAATCAATTCCAAGTATTTTTACGCTTGGTCTCATGTACAAGCAAAGGGCGATCTTAATTCTAAAATTTGTCCTTTTTGGAGCCAGCAAGCTGCAATGGAAACAGCGTTAAACGCCCAATGTACATAAAAATGTATTAAGGCGAGGTATTTCAACGCGAGTGTACATTTTAGGAGGTGAGGTGTGGGGGACCGCTTCTCGCGTCCCGCATCCCGCGCACTGAAAATTCATATGAATGGAATAAGAACAGGCGGAGAAAATTTGTGTTAGTAACATCTGAACCAGGGGTCGGTTTAAAGTTGCAAAAGAACCCGAACGAGCCCAAATGCGAGTTGCAGCTCGAGAGATAATGATATTAAATTTGTATCGTCTGAACCCGAATTTATTTTCGAAAAATGTTGGTACATGTTGTAGCTTTCAGGAATGTGGAGCTTATTTCCAAACACTATTCCGATGAAACAATTTTTTTAAGGAACTTTTTAATGTTAGAAAATATGTTTTAATGTACGATTCTACATAACTCAAAAACTCCCGAAGTACTATCCAGAAACCGTTACGTTTAGTACTAGTTGTTTAGATGGCGGGTATTATGTATGGTTTAAAGGAAATTATTTTGCATATTAGTATGGTATACAGTTGAATATATTCACGGCAGTCCATAGCCTTAAAGCAACAAATTATACCAACATCTATCGAAAATGAATTCGGGTTCAAACAATACAAATTTAATGTCACCTTTAGAAGTGCAACTGATACCGGGGCTGGATGCGACTCAAATTTCATTATTTTTGACTAGCTACCAGTCCCGGGATCACTCGATACTCGCATTTGGGCTCGTTCGGGTTTTGTTACAACTTTAAACCGACCCCGGGTTCAGGCAAGCGCCTAATGGCGACAGGGCATTTTTCAAATTTAGGATAATTATGAATTTAATAACTAATAGAGCTTCAGTTAAAAACCAAGATTTAGCAGGTTCTCTGTAGTACTTAAAGAGAAATATTTCCATATAAAAATGATGTGCAGAGTCAGATATTTTATTGTTAAATAATTTGTTTTAGACTTTTATTTTTGCCTATTTTCAGGATTTTATATGATCGGGTGAAGTACATCCTATCGTGTGACAAATTAGCCCATTCTTTAGACAATATCCTTAGATGTGTCGTATATTTTTTGTAAAACCGTTATTTAATAGTAAATACCTAAACCATTTAATCTAACAAAACAGTTTAACAGTTTTTCCCGCTGCTGCTCCAGTGACTTGTCTTAAATATAATTACATGGTTCAGGCCCGAGCAAGTATTAGTATAATCCTGTGCCTTAAACCAATCACAAGTAGATCCAGGAAGAAATTAAGTCCTGAGAGGGCATTACGGCTAGATAGATCGGAATTGCGTGTCGAGCTCGTGTTAAGGGTGCGTACTATAAACTTTTTATACGGCTACCAGTTTTCCATCAGTTTGCTTGTTTTAGTTAAATTTTATTGTCGTTGCATAGGTAATCTAGTTACTATATTGATGGAACCGGGTTTGTGTGGGTACTTATTTATGTGTATTGTACGGTACAATGGCAGAGTCGTTGTCTACCTATCTTTCCATCAATCTTTCATTCTATAATGTTTCTAAGAAAGGTGTCGTGATATATCAGATATGTAAACGTACGTTTTCCCGTTCGGTTCTCTCTTGTCTTTAATAAGCTTGACTTTTATTTTTTATTTTATTTATTTAAATTTCATTGCACACAAAATAGTACACATGGCAGGCTTAATGCCGTAAGGCATTCTCTACTAGGGTGAATTTCAATGGCACTTTTTGAGTGATTTTTGTAAAACCCTTTTTTCTTTTGGTTTTAAGGTCTTAAACGTACAAATAAGTTCAAGCAATGTCAATAATGATAAAATCACAGAAATATTTAAGTTAAATACAACAAAGCACTATATTTTAGGTCACACAAATGAGATTGCAGTAGCGCGAATGATTTTCTCATAAACACGAAACGGCACAGTAATGAGAAATTATTGTTACAACACACATCTTATCGTTCACAAAAGAACATTTAACAACATTTAACATGTAACAAATATTTTAATATAATTTCTTGTATCAAAATCCTTCGCATCCGTGTAAGTCCATCTATCTATCTATATGTAATTAATAAATAAATCTAAGTAAGTATTTTGTTAAAGCCATATAAACTTTGTTGTACATCAATATATCATCATTACCACTATCAACATTATCATCATGATCACCATTATCAACAGCATCATTACCATTCACATCATCATCACAATCATCGTTATCATCACTACAATCATCATCGTCATCACCACCACCATCATCATCGCCATCACCGTCATCACTACCACTACCACCATCTAATTGTTATATTTCAAGTAAATGTTTGGCTTAAAGTAACTATTTGACTTAAAAGTGGACAGGAATGAGAGCGACATTAATGATATTGACATACATTTTTAATTGTCAAATGTGTAAAATATGCTGGACCGTTATAAAAGTGCATGGATTTTAAAGTTCCCTTTGTCTAATTGATGTACAATAAAGTTTATAAACTATTACTTAATACTTATTTAGATAGATTGCTGTACATGAATGAGAACGATTTAGTCACTAGCGCTGAAATTGGTATTTAAGTCGATTTTTTGCTACAACGTATATGCACAGGCTACTTCACTGTGTATATTCCAATCCGACAGGAGCCCCTTCTCACGTGTGCGAAGGGTGAAGGTGATGCGGTATGAACTTTTGTTATTAGAAGGTTTTTAGTCGAATTGACACTAATGATAAGAAAAATTGAAACACATTTTGTATTCCCAAGAAAACATGTTTGTTTATAATAAATTGGAAAGTTACGGTATGTATTCGACGTATAAGTTATTAGAGTTTATCCGCGATGGGAAATATTGCGATTTCCACGAGTGTTTAATTTTTTTTCTTCTTTTCTTAAAATTAAGGCGACGTGGAACCGGCTCCCATGAATGAGAAATTGCCCACTTTTTTAATTTGTAATTATTACTGTGATGTAGTAAAGTAGTCTTTATGTGTAACACAGACTAAGTAAGCAAGCAATCGTATTAAATAAATAATGCTTAGCATTCATTTAATAACATAAAAGTTATTGAAAGGGACGCATTTTTGGAGGTTATTTGAAAACGACCCACTAGTCAACCAGAGAAATGGGCACAGAGTAATTAACAGGAGTGCATAACATGACAAATTAAAAACAGATAAGGTCA